GGAAAGAGTTTTATAACATTGTCTAGGCACTGATTTCTTGGATAGGACACCAAAAGCATAAGCAACTAAAGTGAAAACAGGCAAATGGAATTATGTCAAGCTAAACAATTCTGCACAGCAAAATAAACAATCAACAGAGTGAAAAGGCAACATATAGAATGGGAGAAAATATGTGCAAACTATACATATCTGATTAAGGGGCCAATTTCCAAAATATATTGGGAAATCCTACAACTCAATAGCAAAAAACCAAGTACCCCAATTAGAAAATGGGCAAAGAACTTGAATAGGCATTTTTCAAAAAAAAGACAGACAAGTATCTAACATGTATGTGAAAGATATGCATCATCATGAATCATCAGGGAAATGCAAATCAAAACCACAATGAGATATTACCTCACATCTATCAGGATGGCTATTATGAAAAAACAAAACAGAACCAAACCCCAAAAGGTAACATGTATTGGCAAGGATGTGGAGAAGCTGTAACCCTTACGTACTGTTGGTGAGGATGCAAAATAGTGTAGCCACTATGAAAAACACTACAAAAGAGTCTCAAAAAAAGAAACAACCTATTTGAATGACGGTATGATCCAGCAATCCCACTTCTGGGTATATATCCAAAAGAATTTAAGATGGGATCTTGAAGAGGTGTTGCACACCCATGTTCATTGCAGCTTTATTCACAATAGCCAAGATATGTAAATAACCTGAACAGACAAAGAAAATGTGGTGTATACATACAATGGAAAATTATTCAGCCTTTAAAAAGAAGGAAATTCTGCGCTATTCAACAACATGGATGAACCTGGAGAGCATTATGCTAAGTGAAATAACCTGGTAACAAAAGGCCATAAGTGGAGCCTAAGCTTTTTACCTACCTTGAAAAGACATCATATATTTTTCTCCTCCATTTTTCACAGCTGGCTAATTAGCTATGTCCTCCTGAAGTCAAAATGAAGATGCCCTTGAAATGGGTTCTTCCTCCAGATATGGGCCATTTAACAGCTTGTCACCATTTCTTCTTGCAAAGAGATAGATACAGAAAGGTCAACCTTGTATGATCCATTCTGCTTATTTACTGAATGGTTACTCCATAGAAAACATAAGGATTCTGGTTATATGTGATGTAACTAAGAAGACCATGTTGATTTCAAATGGGACATTTAGGGAAAACAATTTTTGCTCAAGACAGATGAAATCATCTATGCTAAAATCGGCTAACTTGACTTCCTATGAATTTAAATATAATCAACCAGTTGCAGATATGATATTGATATATAAGTAAGTAAAGGCATAGTTTTGACTACAATGCTCCTCTCTAGAGTTGTGGAAGGATCAAAGCCATAGAGAAGAACTACATCAACTGAAAGTTTCTATTTTCTCCTTCATTTCATTTTCTCCTTCATGTCTACATTTACATGTTTTGCTATTTTTCCAAACATGTATATGTTTAGAAATGATTCTGGGGATTCATGTGTTAATTATCTGCTTTTCCACACATTGAGATGGTTTGTTTCCTATCTTTAAGAAAGCCCTTAGGCTATAATAGCTCCACCAAGTCTTAGTGCTGTGACTTCTGCCACATTACAACCTCTCCATGTCTCGGTTTGCTCAAGTATATAACAGATTCAAATTTTAAGTACTCACTCAATAGGGCTGTTGTGAGGAGGACTCAATAAATAAATGCACAAAAAGGGTTCGGCACAATGCCTGATACAAAGTAAGCACTAAATACATGTTAGTTACTGTTATTTATATTACTATTAACTTGAAGAGGGGCAGACTTCCTCAGGAAGTATCACCAAGATATCATGTAAGAAACAAACTCCACATTTAGAGACTTTTAGGATTGGTATGCCAGATATGATATTATCTGAAATTTGAAATTTCAGTCTCATACTTCATAATAGCTACATGTATTGATCACTTATTACACGCCAGGTATATGAGGTCCATCTAGAAGGTATCCAATGAGGTAACATGAAAAATAGACATTTATTGAAGAAGATACAAGATGCAAGAAACATTGTACATAGGAAAATGATGCCTCAGTCCTGTCCAAAGTAGGCACCTCAAGACCTCACATAGTTCTCTCATTGTCATCAGCTGCCACATAGTACTTTCCAGAATCTCATTGACAGTCTGAAATAACTTCTCTTTCAAAGATGATTTTAGTTTTGGGAAAAGCCAGAAGTCACAGGGCACCAAATCTGCACTGTAGGGGGCTGAGTTGCCTAGGTGATTTGATGTTTCACCACAAAACCCTGCATGAGATGTGATGTATGAGGAAGCATGTTGTCATGATGAAGTTCCCAATCACTAGTTGCCCGTAGCTACAACATTTTGAATCACCCAAATAGTCCCCAGGGATAAATATTCAAGCTTAACGCAAAATTTGACACAGGTTTGTTGCTTTACTCACTCAGTCATTCTGAAGGTGTCAGCCACACAGTACACACGCACACTCAGTGGCATCTACTGCCCCCACTGACTAGTACAGTGAAGTAGTCATTGTTCACAGGTGCACATTGCAGGCCACTTTCCTTGGCTGCCAGATAACACTGATGTAACACAAACCATTCCTGTTATATTAACAATGGAAGGACTTTTTCTGGATAGTCCTTGTAAACTATGTATTATTACATAATCTTATTTAACTTTCACTGTGACTCTGCAAGTGACTAAAATGTACTTCAGAGAAATTAAGTAATTTGCCTAAAATCCCTGTTTAGTAGGAATTCAACATGGATTTATATACTGGTCCATCAAATATGTATTCTTATATGCTTAATTTAAAGCAATAATGCCTCTAATGCTTCCTATCTTTAATGCTATCATTTTCCAAGGTTTTTCTCTGTGTCATGACCATTAAAATGAGAAGTTGCTCATTGTGCTATGTGCCACAATGACTGTAATGAGACATTATCCAGTGGTTCCAGAATTCTAGATTTAATGAATCAATAACATTTAAAAAAACGGAGACTTAACATAAGGTTGTTTCTCAATTATTCCTTTAAATTGAACACATTCATTTTTAGGGAGAAATATCACTATATTGCTGTTAATTTTTTTCTTTCACTAAAAATTGATAAAATGTCATCATATATCAAATAAGTCATATAATAGGTCCAGGAAGTAGAATTCTGGATTCTTGCTTCCTTGGCCAAAATTTTTATAACACTTAAAAAATAAAGATATATTTCACATAACATAAAACTCACCATTTTGAAGTATACATTTCAGTGGTGTTCATATACTCATTGTGTTTTGCAACCATCATCACTATCTGCCATTACTCTCCTCAGTCATCATCACTACTAGTATTAGAATATTTTTATCACCTCACAAACCCTAGATCTATTAATGATTAGAACCATCTCCAGGCAGACCTTTATCTTACTGTCTCTATAAACTTGTCCTTGGGCAAATCTTCATCTCTGTACAAAATGGAAGCTCAGATCTGTGGTTTGTTTTTTTATTTTTTAATGTCTATATCAAACTGCCTTCACAAAGTTTCAACTTGGTATGTGGTTCCCAGTAGTATAAGTAATATGTGCGACACAAGGCATGATAGAGGGTATGAAACTCTTAAGATATCTCATCAATGTTAGCAAATGCTTGCCGTACAAATGACTTTAATATGAAGACATATACTACATGCTTTCTGCATTTCTCATGTCTACATTCACTTCTAATTTTAGATTTTCCTCACATTTTCTCTTCTTTCATTAATTTGGTACTTATCTATGTAATCCAAATTACATATACTTGGAACTTAATTTTAAGACTGCTAATGTGTCCAGTAATCAAATCAAAATAGTATTACAAGGATCATCTTATTTTTTTTAAAAAAGTTATATCCAATTGTAGGTTTGCAAATTCTGGTCCAAATGTGTGTTCTGTTTAGTTGCTCCATTCCCTGTACTCCCACACACACTGTTCAATTCTCAAATAATTTTATTTTAAAATAAAGATTCAAATGTATTATTCTGTCATTGTGATCCATCTGTTTACATGTCTCTGAGTGGACTATGAGCTCCCTGAGGGGAAGGACCTTGTCTATACATGTTTGACTTTCCAGCATGGTGCCTGGTACGTGGTATAAACCAGTGTTGTTGAAGAAATGGAATTTAAACATATAAACAAACACACATAAGAAAATTTACAACTATTTCCCTGGCCAAGTGGCTTAGTTGGCTGGAGCTTCCTCCCATGCACCAAAAGGTTGCAAGTTCAATTCCCCGTTGGGTGCCTAGAGGAGGCACCCAATAGATGTTTCTCTCTCATGTGGATGTCTCGCTCTGTGTCTCTCTTTCTATCTCTCTCTGAAATCAATAAACATATCCTCAGGTGAAGATTTTTAAAAATTCATCATTATTAGGTTACAATTAATTATATTATGCAATATTCAACTACAATATTATATACATCTGACAGATTTTTATGTAGTTCACAACTACATTCCAAATGATATCAGATATTTTAAAAATTCAAAATGATATATTTTGAACACCATAAAATATTACACACACACTTCATTTAAGAGTATTCACCATAGTGGAACTACAAGATGGAGGAACACTGAATGGAAAAGTTTGGAAATTAAAGTAAGGTGACCGAATCTGCATTTGGATTATCTAGAACGACCCGCGTGACTTTGGCTATTTCTGAATCTGAATTTTCTGTGATGTGGAGATATTTAATACCATGCTTAGAGAATTGGTTTAAGGATGGAGCTAATCTATGTATAGGGCCTGGCATTTGACAGGCCTTTAATGAATCTTAGCAGACACGTCATCTCTCAAGTTTTAATGTTTTTACACATTATGAGTCTTTTCCAGTCTGGGACACGTACCCTAATATCCAGTTTCTCAATTCAGAGACTCTGGACAAGACCGCAGAGGCACAACAAAACCTTTCTGACTTTTAATGCTCGCTAGGGCCACAGGAAGCGCTGGGCGGACCTCCGGTATCCCAGCATTCCTCGCGCCGATCCGGCTGCTCTTCTTTCGCGTCTCTGTGGTAGCGCGGCCTCCGAGGCGGCAGCGGTTGAAGCGGCTGTGGTGGGGGCAACTGGCCCCAGCTCTCCTACTGGACCGAGAGGCTTGGGGCATCCAGGGTTGCGATGTCAGAGAAGAAGCAGCCGGTGGACTTGGGTCTCCTAGAGGAGGACGACGAGTTCGAGGAGTTCCCTGCGGAAGGTAGGCGGCTGAGCCTCGGCCTCCGGGCCGCGCGGGCGGTGACTCAGGCTTCCCGTGGAAGGAGGCGAGACAGCCAGGGCCGGGCCCAGAGGCGCCCGCGGGAACTTTGGACCCCGCGGCCGGCTCTGGAAGCTCTGCAAGTGCGACCCTCCGTGCTACCGCCCTCGGGTTCGGAGTCCCCCAGTGGGACGCACCTGTGAGGCAGAATTCTTTCAGCTTCCTCATTGGGAGGAGCCACAGGGACCCTGAGCCCCTACTCCTGTGCCCTGGGTGGTTGGTACTTTCGCTCTTCAGCCAGCTTACCTCGTTCGTGACTGCATAACTTTTTTCCCATTATTCAGCAGCCTTTCTTTGCCTTTAAATCTTCTAAAATTGTTGTTTCTGGTTGGGCCAGGGCTGCTTGCTTAGTACTTTACAAATGAAGCCTATTAATACAATGGGAGGGTCAGGTATTGATGCTTAGTCTGCGTCACTGTTTTACTCTTGTTCCTCACTCATTTTTGATCACTTCACTTTGAAACATAAGTTTAAGGATTTATAAGACCCTAAAACTTCTCTGTTTTTATTACCTTTATGGTTACCAGGAGGACCTAATTCATTTTCACAAATCTAGCAAGTACTGATACTACCATGTGTCACATAAAGAAACTGAAGCTTGGAACAGTTAAGAAACTTCCCGGTGTCACATAACTGGCTAGAATGGATGGACTGCTGGCCCAGTTGACACTGGCGTTCTTAAACTCTTTAGCTGTTTATTTGTTAGATCTGGTTAGATTTGGTTCTGTTTTGTTGTTGTTGTTGTTGTTTTTGTTAGATCGTTGTGGCCAATTAGATTTTTCACTGTTATTTGCTTTATTGGCTAAATGTTATACCTACGGTAAATATTTATCTCATAAGAAAAGGAGATTACTATTGGGTGGTCTTTCTGAAGGCGGTAGAAATTTTGTGGTTAATGGTGTACAAATTTGTTACATTAAGCAATTACTTGCATCACTAGAACTGTCCTAAGTTGTACCCATTATGCTTCTATTACATCTTAAAACCACAGAGCTGAAACATTTGTTCTTTGTATTTATAATATACTCTTTATTTTTTTAATGGCAGTAGGCATTAGTGTGCATATTATATAAATTCATAAACGAACCCAAAGCACATTTCTTTTCATTTCTGAGATTCATTATTACTGTGGGGATTGTTTTGATAGTACTTATCGGTCAGGCATGTCTTCTTTACCTCACTTTGAAGTTGATTCATAATCCTCCAATTTTGAACTATGCAGTAGAAAACTGGCTTATTAAGGGCAGGATCCACTTCTTATTCAAACTTTGTATTTCAAAATACACTTATTCATTGTTTGTCATATACAAGGTACAATGTTAGGCACTTTATTTGCATTACTATTTACATAGTCTAATTATCACCACGATCCTGAGGAAACTGAGGCTAAAATTTTAAAAAGCATGTCATTAAGTGGTTAATCCCCAACCCAAGCTTTACTAATAACATTTAGCGAAGTGCCTAGTACGTTGTAGGTGGTCAGTGAATGCTTGTTGAATGAATGAATCTGTATTAAAATAAGTGGTTGAGAACTGACTCCTTAAAAAGTATCTAGAAATACCTGTGTACCTGATGATACAAATGATTTTTCTCAGCAACTTTTCCTCTTACCTGCTTTCGCAGAATATGTAGTTTGTTTTTGTTCGAAGTTTATTCTGTGAGCAGTAATTTTTTCAAAATGTTCATAGTTACATAGTAAAACTTATTAAAGCTGAAAGGAAAAGGAAGGAATTTTTTTGTGTGTGAAGACAAAGGACTTCACAACAAACTGGCTTATTAGCATTAAGTAATTCACCATTTATTGGTCCTTAACAGAACAGTTGTTATCTTCAGGTTTGAATGTGTAGGACCTGCTTCATTCAGGAAACTTTCTATGTAGAATGAGAAATAACATTTGAAATTCCTTTGTTTTGTTAGGTTTCTGTATGTTTCTTTGGTTTATCATTCATACTGTTTCCCCTTTCATGTTACTTTGAATTAGTAAGATTTTGTTGGATACAAAATTAGCCTAAGAGACTAAACCAATCAACATATACAAATAAAACTGCTCTGATAAGTAACAAAGCTAAATAGCCATCCAGAATATATGTACACATACATATACATGCATACATGCACACATATATAAAATTTTATGTGTGTTATGTAATTTTTACATACACACAGGTCTATACTATATATGCTAGCCTCCTACTTCTTATATTTTATGTCTTAGACATGTGTTTACATTAATATAAAAATCTACCTAATGCGTTTTAGCAGTTGTGCACTACTAGTCCCTTGTGTGCATGTAAAATAAACTATTTGTCTTTTGTGCTTATCTATCAGATAAACTCTTAGAAAAGAATTTGCCAAATCAAATTGGCAGGTGCATTTTTATTTTTTTAGAATAATTTTTTACTTTGAAATAATTGCAAACTTACAGAGTAATTGAATGTACAAACAACCTTTTATTCCCCAAAGCATTTTAGAGTTAAGGTGCCAGCCTGGTGCTCATCACCCTTTAATACTTTAATGTGAATTTCCTAAAAAGACATAATCACAGTACAAACATCAAAATTGGAAATTAAGACACTACTACATTATTATCATCTAGTCCACGAATCTCTTTCAGGTTTCTCCAGTTGTCTCAATAATGTCTTAATTCAGAATCATGGATTTCAGTATTCAGTTGTCATATGCCTTTAGTCTTCAGTCTCGAGCAGTTATCATTTGTGTCAATTTTTGTGATTTTGACACTTTTGAATATTGTAGGCCAGTTATTTTAATAGAATGTACCTTAACTTTGATTTTTCTCATTATTTCTACATAATTAGATTCAGGTTCTGCACGTTGGCAGGAATAGCATAGTCATGATGCTGTGTCTTATTACATCCTGTCAGGAAGAACGTGATTTTCATTTGTTCCATTACTGATAATGATCACTTTGATCACTTTATTAAGGTAGTGTCCGAGAGTTTTCCATTGTTAGGTTACTCATTTTCCCTTCATAATTAATAGGTATTTTGTGAAGAGGAATTTTGAAACCATGTATAATATGAGGGAGGGCCTAAAAAAAAAACCCTGGAATTTATTTATAAAAAATTGTGTATTCTTACATGTTTAAACTTCAGTCACCTTCAAAGAACTCTCCATTTGATGCAATCCACCTATCAAGACATTTTTTCCACTGCCCAAAACAGTTTTTGAACTTGTTGATTTTGATGCCTTTTAGTGCCTCTGCCATTTTTGTTTCCTGTCTTCCATATTAGCAAACTGTTTTCCTTTGAGGACTTTTTTCATTTGGGGGGAACAAAAAAAAGTCAGTTGCTTTGGCTAGATATGGAGGATTTTTTGGTCAAAAACTGCTAAACACTCAGTGCAGCGTGAGCATAAATCACCAAGCATGAAATGGGCAAAGACCTTGAAAGAGTCTTTAAAAAAAAAAAAATCACTGAAGCTGAACGCAGCCTCTCACAACAAGGCCCGCTGGTACACTGATACAGATGGGTTCCTAGAACACTCACCTAGCGGGGGGACGCCTGTACTACAAAAGGCCTGCCCTCCAGAAGATAATTCTGGGTTTTGGGTGGGTCCCCGCCTCATAGAGTATTCCATTCATCATCAAACTTTCAGTTTGTTTATTTGCTTATTTATATCAGTACAGACTCATGGATTCTCATTCAATGGGTTGTTTATTGCTATTATTCACTTAGATCCTCAAATTGTACCGTATTTGAACATTGAGAAGCCCTCCAAGCTATCTTCTGTGACCTTTTGAAACGTCACCATCTTTCTTTGTGTATTTCCTAACATTCTGGCACACAAAAGTATGCTAAACTAATCCTACTTTCCCTGCTCCAGTTCTGGAATCAGGCATTTCTCTAAAGCCATTCTTTTTCATGTAGAATGATAGTTAGAAAGCAAGATCTTAACTCTAGTTGTGCTAATTGCATTTGGGACCATCTCAGTGGAAGGAACTAGGAAATATATAAGTGTGTATATATACATATATACACACATATATGTATGTGTTGTATAAAATCGAGTCACGCAGTGCCGATATCTGTTCATCACAGGATTTATTTAATTACTTTTTCTTCCCATATTTGTAATACCCTTCCCCAACAGTGAGGAACCTGGCATTGTTATCATAAATATATTGTCTTTTTGGTCATACTTTTCCCTAACCAGCCTGTGATCCTCTCCACCCACAAATGACAACCTTTTCCCACTTAGGCTTCAACATTCTATGTCAGGCTGTCCTCTTCCCTCCCCACTCCAGCATTGGATGATGTTTTCCACCCTATTCAGGCTCTGACACACCAGCCATGCAGTGACCATCCCCCCCCCCCCCCCCGCCACACACACAGTAATGGCCCTGCTTGGGTTTTGACTCTTCATCTGGGACCTTGAAATTTGACAAACATTTTCCTAAGAGAAGGGTTACATTAATTAACAGTCTTTTTTTTTTTTTTTAAAGAGAATGTATTTATTTTTATATAGATGGGAAGGGAGGGAGAAAGAGAAAAACATCAATGTGTGGTGGTCTCTCACGTGCTCCCCACTGGGGACCTGGCGTGCAACCCAGGTCTGTGCCCTGACTGGGAATTGAACCAGCGACCTTTGGGTTTACAGGCTGGCATGCAGTCTACTGAGCCACACCAGCCAGGGCCATTAATTAACAGTCTTATATACAGTTCATCTTTTCTCTCATTAGGTTGCCTATACTCCTAAATGACTAAATGTTAAACGTTTTAGTCATTGTAATCTTGAAGTATGAAAAATATAATTGTATCATTTTGATTTGATTTCTTTGAGTGAGATTGATCATTATATTTTTCCTTGAACTGTTACCTTTTTTTAATTTTATTTTTTAATCCTTACTCAGGATATGTTTTATTGATTTTTTTTCTCTTTATTCTTTTTTTTATTAATTTATTTACTTTTTTAAATACATGTTT